TATATAATTTTAATTATATAAATATAAGTAACAAGTTCATTAAACAAATTGATTAAATAAGTTGAATAAACAATTTTAAACTTTTATATTTATTATCTGACTTAATATTTATTATTGATCTATTTTTAATTCAAATATAATATTTATCTAAATAACTAATATACTTGCAAGTCTTGCATCTAGTACTCACCGCTAATATGTCCTGAACCAAACCATGAATATCTTTTGTTTTCCTTCTTCTTTTTTTTTTATTCTGTCTGCCTAATTATTTTAAAATGTAGTACTTTTTCCTGTAAAAACTTGTACCATTTCAGAAGTAGTACACGAAACAGTGTTTTTTTGTGCGTCCAGCAGCATTAAGATGCAGAATCTAGTACTAACTCTGAATTAGGTAGTCTTTTTAAGATTAAATAAATAAATCTTAATGTACCAAAAAAAAAAAATAAATAAATCTTAAGTACATTGATAAGGATAAAACTCATAATATAAGTTGTGTACACGAAAATGCCCTTGAAAGGACCAATACTAATCCACCCATGTTCCCACTAGTACATTAAGATTTCCAAATCCTAACAAGATGAATTAAATAATTAATCACCAAAACACAATATTGTAGTGAACATCTAAAAACAATGGATAATGACTATACCTCTACTCTAAAAGATGCATCCCACTCTAGATGTAGATTTCAAATCTTGTGAAACCTCATCGGTCCTATTTTTCACTACTGCTCTTCCTCCCTCCCCCGTTCTCACAAAGTCACAATCCATTATCCTTTTTTCTTTTTCTTTTTCTTTTTTGTTGAATAGGGCAATTGAGAAGATTGAGAAATGAATTTTATTAAGTTTAAAATTGTAATTTATAGAAAATGTTTCTCACTAATAATAAGATTTGACCATAAGATCAAAATATGGGGATCTACTATCTATTATCTAAATAAACTAACCATAAGGAAAGGCTAAACTATTTGATTATATGCTAAAGTAGGGAGAGACAATCTAAAAATAGAAAATAAGTCTTCCTATGGTATGTTTGTGAAAAACAAATCAAAACATAATTGGAGCATTCCCCCTTTTGGGTTAATTTTTCATGTATTCAATTGAAAAAATGCATGAACAGCAAAGCATGTCATAATTAGGCATTAAAGATTGTATTAAGCAATTAAACAACTGGCTGGCTCCCAGCCCCACCCCAATACATTGAATTGCAAATTTGCAATGAGAACCCTGGCCCTCTCAAAGGGAGTTTCACAGTCTCCTCCGTACACTTCCCGCAGGCAATCACACCACCAAATAATGAAATCCCGCCACGTGCGGTGAAGGCAAATTCCTTGTATGGAATAATGGCGGGATTTAAGACCTCCTAGACTCCAACGTAGAAACCTCCACTAAATTTGCCAATCCATTTTCAACGGCCATGATTGCATCCTACGAAACCAAAACCGCAATCAACCCCCACATGAAACATCATGCACACGTGTACGGTCCCGATGAAAGGAATAAAAATGATAATTGTCCGTCGCTCCATGTTATCCCCGTCGTCTTACTTAAAGCGCCGGCTCGCTGTACAATGACCCTCAGTCCATCAGTCCATCAGTCCTTCCTTTCTTCCTCATTACCTACCTAGTACAAGTCCTCTCAGGGGAGTCCTTTTTGGCCTCTTCACGATTTAAAAAGGGAGAAGAAAAATGAAAACTGCTTTGCATGACTCGCCGGAGAATATCGCCGGCAATCTCTCCGGCTAAAGGTATTTAAAAAACTATGTGTTCTCTCGCATTTATCTCGATTCTTAGGGTTCTGTCACCTTTTTTCCCGTTTAGACTTTCATTTCTGCGGACACAGACAGGGGAAACGGATGTATTCGTGTATGCACAGGATTTGGAATTTTGCTGTGATTGTTTTAAGCTTTTGTTTTTTCTCTTTAAAACTGCTAAAATTTTCTTTATCTGAATCGCTGAATGCATGTTGTGTGCGATAAGAGATTGATTGTTAGATTGATCAGACGGTATTTTGTTTGATTGGTTTTGAAATGATAGGTCTGGCTTTCGGTTTTCGATTTCTGTTGACGGTGAGTGCTTCGTTAAGTTCGGCGGGTATTCGATTGATGGCACACTAAATCACGGTGGTGCCGGTCTCAGTTCGGAAGTAGCTTATTTAGTCATTTTGTGTGGAGGAGTTCGATTTCAAGTGATTTGCTGATAAGTCAGAATTAGCAAAGCAAAAATGGTAGGCTCTTAAACTCTATTTGAAGCGTTTGGTTGTAAATACTAAATACTGAGTTGAAAGCTTGGCCTCTGTTTGTGGAGTGTTTTGATTATGGTTTTACTTGTTATCTGTTTTTTTTTTTTTATTATTCTTTTTCTGGTTTGTGATTCTGTTGAAAGTTTTGTTACTGTTTGGTATATTAAGCCAGTATTGTATTGTGTCGGATTCTGTGTTGATAATCCTGTTTTTGTTAGTTGATTGTCACTTTGTTTGGGTGAGAAGGGTGGTCTACTGTTAGAGAACCGCCATGTCTGAGGATATGCATTTATAATAAGTCATTTGAATGATTGTTTTACCTAGATTCACATATTCGGTGATTTATGTTCTAATTCATAATGTTGGAACTTCATTAACTGTGAGCTTCCTGATGTGATCTTCCTGATGTGATCAATTTGAAGTCATTGGGACACGTGTCTGCTATTGTTCTAGGAATATTTTGAATCTGATTTTCAATTCCAAATATAGAGAATTCAATAATCCTTGCGAGCTTTTGAAGTATAGTCTTGTAGAGCTCAAAGATGAAATTCAGATTGTAGCATCTGTCGGGGATTTTGAAAAGAGATAGGGAATGTATCTTGAACTCCTTAAAAGGATGTTATTTGTGTTTTATAATAATAATGCCAATCCGTGAATCAATGGAGAATGTGTATATAAAGCTCATAAACTTGGTTTAATGTTCCTAATTGGCCATATATTGGTCAAGCTTTTAGCCAAAGCTCTTGTAAATGTCTCTTGTACTTGAAGGTGCCCTTTGGTGTCTTTTCATTATGTTAATAAGAGAATGAGCATACAGGAACATTAAACAGCTTAAGCATAGCAGGTTGAAACCAATAGCCTTAAATGAAAAAGATTTTAATTTAACTTTGAATATTTTTTCTAGGAGTAATCAGGTTTAATCAATATCTGGTTTGCATTCTAATTCTTCTGAAAGGGTGCTTTGCTTCTGTGGCAGCACTTGAGATGAATCTATAAAATCAAAATAAGTTTCTGCTGAAATTTAGCATGATGTAGATTTTGCTCTTGATAAGCATCCTTCTTTATACTTCTCAATTTTCTTATGGCATGATCTCTTGAGTTTAAATTTTGTAGCATGACAAATTTCTGAGGGATATTCCTGTTTCATAAAGATTCTACTTTCTGCCTAGTGATCAATGTTTGCATGCTAACTTTTTGGCAGTCTTTCCAACATAAAAACCTTTGGATGCTGAGAGATGGTGGATGTCTAACTGATGGGGAGATGGCTTACAATAATTCCTCAAGAATTGAACCAAAGCGTAGCCGTGAGTGGTTTACGGATTCTACTGGAGCAGAATTGTTCAACAGCAAAAGGCAGGCAAAAGAAGTGGTGAGCAGCCAGCCAGTTCCTGGAATTCCAGACATGACTGCTTCTTTGTGGCAGAATGCTTCCAGCTTTCAGCCAGTTTCTGGGCAATTCACTGATTGCCTATTTGGATCTGAGCCCATAAGAACTTTCAACTTGGGTGATGGAAATATTCCTTCTGTTGATGGTCGAAACATGAATATGGGAAGAAAGGTTTTTGAGCATCAATATGACAGTCGATCCTCTGTAGGTTTGTCTATGTCTCCTGTCATTGAAGATGCCTCCCCACGTCATAGTTTCAGTGGAGTTAGAAAAGTTAAAGTCAATCAAGTGAGGGATTCAAACAATGGTATGCCAGCATCAATGGGTACTGCATATAACAGAAGTGACAACAACACATCTTTGGGTCCAAATTATGGTAATGGGGATGAGAATACCATCTCAATGGGCTCCACCTTGTCTAAAACAGATGGAAATTTCAATTTATTAGGTCACACCTTTAACAATGGAGATTGCAATTTTATATCTATTGGCCATAATTATAACGAGGGAAATGGGAATATCTTGTCCTTGGGCCAGACTTTTGACAAGGGGGATGGCAGATTTATATCAATGGATCAATCATATGAAAAGGCTGATTGCCTCGTATCATCGAGCCCCTCCCATGGCAAGGGGAATGACAATTTCATTTCAATGGCTCCCTCTTACAACAAACATGATAGTGTGGTTTCAGTGGCTCCTTCCTATGAAAAAGGAGATGGTAATCTCATATCTATTCGTCAATCCTACAATAAGGCAGACTTCAATGTCACAGCAATAGGTCCTGCCCAAGACAAAGGAGATTCCAGCATTCTGTCCATGAGTCACAACTACAACAAGGGTGAGTCCCAAACCATATCTTTTGGGAGTTTTCATGATGAACCAGAGGCAAATCCCCCTGGCAGTATCATCAGTAGCTATGATTTGTTGATGAATAATCAGAACCCTGTGCAAGCTCCAGGTGTGCCTGGTCAGAAAGGGTTGGTTGAGGCCGTTCCAGATTCAAATGCAAATAGTGCTCCTAAAAGTAATTTTAAAATCAAAACCAAGCCCAAGACTAAGGAACCAAAGACAGCAAAAAAAGTTTCTTCAAACAATTTCCCTTCAAATGTCAAAAGTTTGTTGTCTACTGGTATCCTTGATGGGGTTCATGTGAAGTATGTTTCCTGGTCGCGGGAGGTGAACTATTTCCTATGTGTCAATTTCTCTCAAGTTCAATTTTCAATGTTCTCTTTTAACATGAGTTTTTTGTTTTACAGAAAAGTCTTAAAGGTTATATAAATGGGACTGGTTATTTGTGTGGCTGTAAGGAGTGCAAGTTCGAGAAGGTAACCAAAATGTTCTTTTGCTTGCCTAACCCACCTTCCCATTGCCTATAAGTTACTACTGCCTACAATTCATTCATTTGTCATGCAGGCTCTGAATGCTTATGAGTTTGAGTGTCATGCTAATTGCAAGACCAAGCACCCCAACAATCATATTTACTTTGAGAATGGAAAGACCATTTATGCAGTCGTTCAAGAGCTGAAGAATACTCCTCAGGAGATGCTTTTTGATGCAATTCAAAATGTGACAGGGTCTCAAATTAATGAGAAGAACTTTCGTGTGTGGAAAGGTAATGCAGTTATTTTGATGCTGTGAACTGACTGACTTAACCATGAAAATTAATCTTCTATATTCTCTCATTTGAGTTTTTCCTTCCTCTTCCCAGCATCATACCAAGCTGCTACCCGTGAACTTCAGCGCATCTATGGGAAGGATTAAGTCCCATTGTGATCTTGACCCTTGAGATGAAGACTTAGCCTTTCCACATGTGAGGTGGGTCAGATCGTTGAACACAATAACAGCATTTATCTTATGGTAAATTGTAGAATTTATATGGGTTTTGAGTAATTTATGTATGCCAATGGGCATTATGACTTTTCAGACTTTATTTTGTTACCTGGTTTAGACAATTATATGTCCTATCAAAATTTAAGTTCCTCCTAGTCCGAATGGGAAGTTGAAATTCAGACTCGAGATTTCAGTCATTTTGGTAGACCCTTCTTCTTTGGGGAACTGAAATGATTAGAGAATAATTCCGATAGAATGAGAGAATCTTTGGCGATAGCCTAACCTTTAAGGGCTCTAAATGCCTGATCATAGGCAGGCCAAAATTCCAGTGGTTCTAAAATCTTGTTATCCTGTTGCCTGCTAATTCATTTGTTGGCATGCGGAACCAGCCTTGGAGAGCAAGTTAGATAATGCAGATCTTTCCAGTGGTAAACACTTTTACATAATGAATGTGCACAAAGGAACGCAGACATTAGCCCTAGAAAGTATGAAGTCTTTTTGTTCTTTCCCAGTAAGGAGGTCAATGTTGAACTGAAAACTAGTTTACGGTACATACTCTAGCATGCTACAGAAAACATCAGAATGATTGCTCTGTTCTCCAGTCTTTTGGCAGAAAAAAAGAAAGGTGTAAAAAGGAAAAATTGCTATGTTCTCAGTCATTTGGTCCTTTTACTTCCTGCAAACAGATTCTTTTGAGATTTTGATCGATTGTGTTGATCAGCTCAGTTTCCAGAGTCTCTAGCAACAATCATTGTGACGGTAGCACTTGCTGCAATTGGCTGATCAATCGGTGCAAAGACTCTGTCAGGTTCGGATTGAAGTCTGTCCTTGCTTTTACCCCATAATACTATATACATGCCGATAACAATGATAACACTTCCAATTATCCTGTTAATTAAGAACTCCATACGTTAAGAAACATTGTAGGAATTCTGAATTGCTAAACTGTTATTGATTGTAGTAATTTAATAGGAATTCTATGGAGGGACGTAACGATTCAGACCTTCCTACGTACATCTTCTCGGCCAGAAAGAAGGATCCCAGAATTGCAACAATGACCATGTTTAATGGATTAAAAGCACTCACGAAAACAGGTCCCCTTCTTTTCGAGACCCATCCCATAATGTAAAAAGCAGTCCCAGAAACCACTCCCTGCTTAGGCAATTTGCTGTTTGTGAGAAATTCAGATGAGTGTTTTGTAGTAGTATATTTAAAATTGAAAATCTTACCCCATAAATAACTGCCAACAATTTGCAGTTCGAGTGAAGGGACCAGAGTGCCATGTTCCCCTTTTCTACTGCAAATGCCATAACTGCTGCTTCCACCATGCCGGTGACACATATCATTGCCGTCAGGGAGAGCTGAGCCGGGTACGATTTCAGCAACACTGTCTGTACGTAAAACCCATTATTTTTTGTTAGCCATTTTAATTGTGAAAACTGCTTGGGAAAAAATCTAGAGAATATAGATTTTTGATTACTTGCAAAATGATGAAAAAAGACCAGCTGAAACAACCAGCCAAGGTCAAAAGAGCACCAATTAAGAGATTTTGCTTCAGATCAGTCCCACTTTCCACTGATTGGTTGTGGTGGTTTCCCCTCCAATCAGCTCTCCATGGCAATCCTATGACTTTTCCCTTCATAAGAGTCATCATCGTTGCTCCTCCAATAGCCACCACTGTCCCCACCACTTTTGCCTGGCAGTTCACCCTCTTGATATCCATATTTTCAAGCCTACAAAACAATGTTTTAGTCAAATCTTCTGAAATGCAATGTATAACTCATATCGAGAGAATTATATTAATCACCTGAAGATGCAAGCTAGTAGAAATGTGACAGCAGGAAGAATATTGCAAATAGCAGTTGTGAAATTTGTTGTAGTGTACTTCATTGCCGTGTAGAACAGGTTCTGATCAAGAACCGGCTCGAACAAGCTGATTAGCATTATCTTAGCGAAGATGGTGAATGTCATCTTTGGTCTTGTTTTCCTGCAAAAGTATACACTGAATTAAGAATTTATCATGCAGTTTTAACTTTACCACGAACGTAAGCTAGAGAAGGGAGACCTTTCAAGGACGATGGCAAACGGGGCAATGAGAATGGAGGCGACTGCCATGCGGTAAGCTACCAGGACGTGTGGGCTCATCCCCTGATTCATGGCGGATTTAGCTATTATAGACATGACTGCATAGCTGAACTGCATCAGGCTCACAGCCAAGAATGGCTTTGCCTTCGCCAAGAACTCCATATTGACAGTTCTCTCTTTTAATTTCTCTTCCTGAGTGTGTGTGTGTGTGTGAATCAGAAGATTTATAAACAAGATGCAGTAGTATCTATTACTAGATATGAATTTGATAGGCTTAATTAAATGGACTGTTACGTTGTAAGTCTTCCACATGCCACGAACATGAAGATATTACGTGCTAGTTACAATCTAGGGGGAGGTTTCATCATAAGAAATTGAAGAGTCAATACGTCTTTCTCTGAAATGCAAAAAATCATTTCGTACAAAACACAAACTTATAAAACTTGGAAATCATCGGTGTCAGAGTCTCAAAGAGAGGTGGTTGCTGAGTAATTAAGGAAGGAATTATGATGGTCTTTTTTTCTTTAGACCTTCTTTTGAGGTCAGTGTAATGAAGTATAATACTAGTACTGCATTTTTTCTTCATCCTTGATGATCCTTCCTACACGCACTATGATTATCAATCTTCTTTATACCATGGAAAACATGGGGAAATTCAGATACTATGTATTTAGTACTTCAAGTTTCTTTGTTATATTTTATTTTAGAAAGTTTTTAAAGGTGATTTAACTTACTAAAGAGTTGAGATTCTGAATTAAAGATTTCAAATTTAAATTTTGAGTTAAATGAAGAAGAATTTGAGAAATTGAGAAATGGAAAAGGCTTTTTTTTTTTTTTTGGGGCATAATCCATCAAATGTACAAAAAGAAAATAAAAACATTTTATTTCAGAAAAGTAACTCGAGATTCTTGGTGGCTCAACATGCAGCACCGAATCTGATCAAAACAAAACATTATCTTTCAACACACACCAAAAAGGAAAATGATTTTGCAGCACTAGATTCCCTCAAACATTTTCATCTTCAGGTTCCACTTTGTATGTTACATCCATCACGAAGTCTAGCTTCGACTCATTATTGATATCTTCTTGTTGATTCTCGGTGGCTATAGTTGCCGCCTTGTCCGGTGATAGCTGATCCTTGCTCTTGCCCCACAGAACAAAGTAGAGGCCCGCAACAATGACGATTGCGCCTGTAATCCTAGAAAATTGGAAATGGTTGATACTTAGATTATGGCCCGAACAATTAGCACATAATTATCACTAACAAACTTTAATGTTATTTTAGATTATTAGCAAAAAAAAAAAAAGGGGAAAAAAAAAGAGAGAGAAGAGTTTCCTGTGCCAAACTGCAAAATAGAACTATTGATGGGGAAGAGCCCTACCTAATGGTTGAAATTGTATAATTTGAAATAATTTGTATTGCACAACATTTTTTTATTAAAAAATATACAAATACCTTCCTAAATATGTTATCTCTGACAAAACAAAGGAGCCTAATATAGCCACAATGACCATACTCAGAGGACTGAAAGCTGTCACAAAAACAGGTCCCTTAACCTTCAATATCACACCTTGAATGTAATATCCCAAAGCAGAAGTTGCTACTCCCTGCATCACCATGGTATGAAAAAAACCTTAGGGACTAAATTTTTATGCAACCTATAATTTCAGGGATTAAAAAATAATTTAGCCAAATTAAGGGTTTTCTTTCTTTTGCTTACACAGTATATATAAGCCAAGAGTTTAATATCCAAGTGAATGGACCAAGGTGCAGAGTTGCCCTTTTCCATTCCCAGAGCCAAAATGGTGCCTTCAATGGTTCCCATGCAGCAAATCAAAGCTGTTAGGGAGAGCGGTGCCGGGTATGATTTCAGGGTAATTGCCTAAAAGAAGGCAAAACATTAGGCTTTAATTTGTCTTTATAATTTTGATCATTGAACTTAGTAAAATGAAACTTACTTGGAGAATAATAAAACCAGACCAACAGAAGCAGCCTGTACCCATCAATATGGCACCCTTTACAGGATCTTGTTTGGTAACTACAGAAGAATTTGCAGCCTGTTGAACATTATGTACTTTTGTCCATGGTAAATGCAGCACTGGTCCAGTGAAGAGAGTCATGAGCATGGCTCCCCCAATAGTTACAATAGTGCCTAATATCTTTACCAGGCTATGCAGCTTCCTCAGATTAACCTTCTCAAGCCTGAACATCCAAGCCATCATAAAGGCAATTGCAGGAGTAACATTGGACATTGCAGTTGCAAACGTTGCAGTTGTGTACTTCATTCCTGTGTAGTAAAGATTCTGGTCTATGGTTGGCCTGTGCAAAAGAATAAACAGAGATTATCATTATTAGTTAATAAACAAAAAATGAAAGTTAATAAAAATTGGGATGGTTTTTCCAAAGATGAAGAATCCTTACTCTAATAATCCAAGCAAAAGTATCTTAAAGAAGGTGGAGAAGGTCATCTTTGGCCTTATTTTCCTCTCCAAAACAAGGGCAAAAGGAGAAATGAAAAGGGTAGCAATGGCATGCCTGTAAACAACCAGGACATGTTGGCTCATGTTCTTGTTCAGGGCAGACTTAGCTACTATGAAAGTGCCTGCATAGACAAATTGCAAGAAAATCACACCCAAAAAAGGCTTTGCTCGATTGAAAATGCTCTTCAAAGACTCAATTTCCATATCTCAGTTGCTATGTACTAGAAAAAGTAGATTGTTTTGGCAAAATGTTGCAGAGTTGGACTTGCTTATATACAAAAAAGATCACATATTCTTTTCAAAATCCAGGGACTCCACTAGGGTGAAGGGATGATAATTATTCTACTCCTGACAGAAGGAACAGCAGAACCAATTCCTAACACCTCTACTGCTGGCAGAATAGAAGAAAAACGGGGGCAATTGCACCGAGTAAAAGTCATGCCTATAACGTGGGATCACTTGGTTGGATGCTCTTAATAGCAATACTATCCATTTTAGCTAAGTTTTGTATGTTCTGAAATGGAACTCACAAGTTCTGCTTTTATCTCTATTTTACAATAAATGGTTTTCTTCAATATGCACGCCAAGCATTGCTAGGTAGGCTTCGTTGGGTTTGTGACCATCCAGATCATATTATTTTAAGTGCAACTGACTTTATTTGCACCATTTATATCTTCCTGGAGAAGTAAGGAAGTGCAGCTGAAATGGGTTTTTCTATGAAAAGTAAATAGTTATGTTAGATGGAATCAGAATTAAATATTTGATATGGATATTTTCAATATTTTTTCAGTTTTTCCCTTTTTTCAAGTGCCCACAAAATTAATTGAGGTAAAGTGAAAGAATCTAAACCTCAATTAGATCAGTGGTTTTATACAAATCTTTAACTTTTGTTAAGTTCGTGATCATGACACATATATTAGAAATCAGGGCTGGACCTAAACCTCAAAGTTTCAAAACCTTTAACTTGCCATTGCGCGGAGGTTTCATCTGCAACACCCTACTGATGTTAGTATCAAAAAAATTAATGAACCCAGCATCCCACGGCTACAAGGAAGACCATTATAATGATTAATGAGATCAGATTAATAGTGGGGTCTCTCAGATAAATTTGTGGTTATGATGACAGCTGCATTCTAATTATGATATCCTGGATATATATAAATCCACAGATATAAGTCAAATCTTATAGTACGTTTGGTTTGAAGGGAGGGGAGGGGCGAAATTTTCTCTATTTGGTTAGCAAAAATTTTGAGGGGAGGTGAATGTAGGCAAACAGAAGGATGTTGTAGCTTCCATTTCCCTCCACTCCCCTTCCCTCCATTATTGAAAGCATGTCATGAGTGGAGCTCAACATTTGGGTGATAGTCTAATATACATATAAATGGAACATGAAGTCAAGATACAGAGAGACAAAAAAGGCATAACTCATGGCCTCAAATGAGGATGAAATTAGTGGCTTCAATCACATTTTATCCAATAATAAAAAAAAAAAAATTAGTGGCTTCAAATGAAAGGGATAAGAAGGTGCTAAAGGTCAATTTTGCTTCATCAATCCACCTCTATAATACCATCCTTTTTCTAATGGTAGTGCTGATTTAAGCTATTTTTTTAATAAAAATGCTATCCATCTCATACCACACGAGCTCATGTCATTGTTCTTAATGCGTTAATGTTCAGGTTTTTATTGTGAATACAAGGAGTAGCTGCCCATTGTTAAGAAAAATGGGAGACCGGAGTTTAGGCCGTCTTTATCCATGTCAGAGAAAGAGGAGAAATTTTGGTCATCTTCCATTCTCCGCATCTGGAAAACAACTCAACTTTCCATACTTTCATTTATTTTTATTTACTGCAGCAAATTAATGCTTCCGCGTCATGTTTGCACTTCTCAAAAGTGAAACCTCTTTTCCTCAGGCATTGTTTAATGTATGTTGCTGAAGCAATAAAAGGGCAAGAAAAATTGGTTTTGAAATTGAATTAGATTACTATAATCCGTGAGACATTGATTTCTTTAAAGAAAACTATTGCCATTCATGGCCTTGGTTGAAAATGAAATGGGAAAATCAAACAGGGCTTTTTAGGCATGGTTTCAGTAAAGGTACTTTATTGGCTGGAGCAACTCCGCCTGTTCATTTTGGTGAACCTGGAGGAGACCAGTGGCTGCGGAAGCCGATGGAGCGCTCGACCAACATATTTGATGTCTTCCATAAATCCTCTGCCTAGGGCTCTCAGGGTTGTCTAAAGGCGAGGTGCAATATAATTGCATGCTCCCATATTCATTGGTTCTTCCTAGCACCAAACTACCTCAGCTTCTAATACAATAAAGAAAACAATGGGAAAATATATCAGCATTACAATGTAAAATGAAACTAAGTAGAGAAACTTCAAAAATCAAAAAAAGAAAAGAAGAAGAAGAAGAAGAAGAAGAAGAAGAAGAAGAAGAAGAAGAAGAAGAAGAAAAAGAAGAAGAAGAAGAAGAAGAAGAAGAGAGAAACTCCAAATTGCATTTAACAAAATGAGTATACTTTGTTAAGGCGTCAGCTCTCCCTGGATCAGATCATATGAGAATGGACACAGTTGTTCAACGGATAACATATAAACATAGAAAGCCCAAGTTATTTTCATGAAGTCATATACATAAGAAGAAAAACATTATTCATAGGAATATAATCGATAAATATTCTAATTTAACATTTTTTTAACATTTATTTTATTTAATGTTTAAATATTATATAAATATAATTAATTTCGTTTATTTTTTTATATTATATATATAATTATATCTTTAAATTTATTTATTTTTAATTTTT